CGTTACTCGCCGAACTAGACTACTTGTTTGACCAATCAAAATCACCCAGTTTGAACGATGTCTAAGGTGTCTAGGGCAACGTTCAGGCACTTTTTAAGTGTGATGAAAAAATGAGTATGACTGGCGTTGTTGGCAGCCTCGTATGAATCGACTCTTTCTAGTTGCTGTCACAGGATGCTAAGGCCTTTGAAACTATCTTGAGGGCATAGCACGCAAGAAAACAAACTATAACTCAAAGTGAAGGGCGTCGCTTCTCTCATTAACTGAAGCAGATTTGAATGCCAAGTAGATGTGTACGAGATACCACCTCATCGAGGACTTCTGTTGTCAACTGAGTTTCAAGATGGCTGGGCATAGGATGAACGATGGCAGAATGCTTATAGCAGTTATGCTCATGTCAACTTCGAGTCTTGTTGGCTGGGTAATACGGCAGAATGCGCGTTGAAACGGTTCTGATGAGGAATTCCCGTATGATGCGTTATTCTAAGTCGCCATGGTCGACCTTCAGCAGCCATTTACATTTGTGGATATCCTCCTCCAGAGCAGCGGAGGCTGGCGGCCCCGCGCAAGGTTCAACCTAGTAATGATAATCCATTGGGCTAAGTTCGAAGGGTAGCTTGACCGAGGAGGGAGAGAGCTGCATCGGTTGCGCTGGCAAAACGACAAAATGACGTGCGACGAGGGTGCGGTCCAGGGAATTGGAAAGGATGCACAGGTGTAGGTGGAGGTGCAAGCCAGAAAAAGCGAGAAAGTATGTCACTGAAATCCATTAGAAGAGCCGGTAGACACTGAATCCAGGCCAAACACAGTGGGGAGAATTGTACGGGTTGATCCTGTGCTTGGAACTGAAGAAAACAGGCTGACTCCTCCAAATTATTCAGGATTCTCAAATCGCCTGGGCAATTTATTGTCCAGTATGCTGTATTGCTGGTCACAGTGCCTTTAACTACCTCTGCATGTTCTTCTTGTGTGTTTCAAGTGCACCGGTGCGTCAATGAGTCCAGCGGCGCTTCTCGGAGCATATCGTGCCAACCAACAGTTCTGGAACATCTTTTGAGTTCGTGACTTCAGTCACCATGCAAAAGAGGATGTTGACCCCAGACAGTACCGTCGCGAGTCCATCTTTTCAGGGTTGACCGATCGCGGAATCCTATGCCTAAGACGATGATCACGTATGCTGTCTTCAAAGGCTTCAGTTAGCGGATATTGTCAGGGGTACCCAGTCGCCTTCAAGTCCTGGAAGCAAAATATTTTCAGAGCAGCTTCGGCTGTTAGTACGCGTCATTTGAGTCCTTACTGGCTCCAATGACGGGGGCTGCCGGTGCGTAACATCGAACAAGGCGTCTAGGAATGTCTATGGACTGCTTAGAGAGACAAATGAGGTAGCTTTATGATCATGATCGTAATGAACCCGGCGTAAGTGCATGTCTTCGTTTGTGTGTGCGTGTATCGTGGATTTGCGCCTGGAACGGACGAAGGGAGGGAAGGATTCGATGGCCTTGCAGAAACGCGTCCTTTGCTTTTGGAGGTTAGCTGAGCCACGTTAGTAACTTCAAGCGGCTGATCAGTTGTCTACTTGTGATAGTCAGATCCTTATTCACGGGATTATGAGGTCAAGATGACGATTCCTAAACCAGGATAATTAGAGCCACCCAACCTATCCTATCCAAAGACATTCACGTTTGAATCCCGGATAGTTTGATGAAAAAAAAAAAAGGAGAGGATGAGAAACGCAATTTGAGAGCGCGAGAGAAGCTGGCCTGGTTGGTACAGCAAGCAGGACAAGGCTTCGAAGAGCCATGAGGGAGGCAGGATAACCAGTAGAACAGACAGGCGAACCCCTAGGTGCTGAAGCTAGGAGCGAGCAGAGCGCACAAATTCCTTTTGAAGGTAGCCCGTCCGATCAGTCACAGCCATTGAGTATCATCATGCAATCTTTCCCTTTTGAATATTCGCGTCCCAGAGATAGACAATAGAAAGATAGGCCTGGGGGAAATTCTGTTGGTCAATGTAGAGAGGGCAGGCCCACGTAGTAATTAGCATCGGTCGGATTCCTTCTCCAGTGCCAATTAGAGGACGGACGGCCGCACAGCATCCTCCACCCTTCTCTTCTTCCCGCTGGATCGTCGACCTGGCCAAGGTAGAATCGCCAACCTCTCATAGAAATGAGGGGTTTTCCCTACTATACTTCTTCGCTCATACTTTTCCCGAACTCAGTATCATGAGAATCGTCAGGAACATGGGTCTGCTTCCTGTACCATGGATTTGGCCTGGAGTCAGACCACTCTGATATTATGACCTCATCTGAAAGCTCCTCCTCAACCATCAGGTTCTCTTAATGCTCCTCTTGGGCTTAAAACGTCTCCTACAATGTCTCTCGGCCACAGTCTCCTTCTTGTTTGTGCCATTGCGTACGGACGACCTGTCCATAATGATTGACCGGAGGGATCATCTCTGGTAGTCCCCCTCAGCACCACTAGGGACGTGACCAAGAAAGTAGCAACAGCAGCCACACATGAAAGCAAAGCCTTACAATCATACTTGAAGTCGAGTCATGGTCGAAACTTGATGAGATCGATGATCAGTACCAACAGTTTCCCTGGCCACACGCTTGGCCCTGAGTTAAGAAGACAAACAACTGGTCGGTGAAACCTCGAGAACGCGCCATTCTGAGAATTTTTTTCCTTAAAGCAACACGAGTTGGTAGGGATTCAAAATTTGGTCTGGAGAATCCATTTTGCTAACAGGCATTGTTGATCCATAGTCTGCTCATTCATGCGAGTTTGTCAGTGTTGGCAATCGTGTCTACCTGAGTGCGGCTCAACCACCACAGGGAAAAGGGCTTGGTCGCATCGTTCTTCCACAATCATATCTTTCGCAACTCATCAAACGGTCCATACCGCCATACCGCGTACCGGTCCCGATAATGTATCTTCGCTTGTCGCCGCTAAATTCAGTGCCGTCCGTGTCACAAAAGCTCAAGCGTTAAACGAGTCACTGCGATACAGATTGACCCGTCGTGATATCAGAGTCTCGGACAGCATGCATATCTTACCAAATGACACCGTTTTCAGTGCGGCTGTAATCCATAGACATCTTGGATTGTGTTGTGCTGCACTGATTCATCCCGGCTCACCCTCGCACGTATCCTGGTCGACCATCGACTTTCAGTTGCCTTCTATCCTGGGTTGTCCGTTATAAACCGTCAATTTCATGGCCGAAGAGAAGTATGTCAGAAGAGAAACGACCAAAAGAAGACTGTCGACCAGTTCTGTGACTGCTTCCCGCTAAGAGCGACACATATAACCGTCACTGAGCAAGATTTTCCCGTTTGAATCGCAGTGAGTCGCATCAAAGTGATGGCAACTCAGTATCATCGTGTCTTGCTCGTTGGGCACCCCTTCAAGCTTCTGAAAGAAACCCAAAGTCTGGCCCACAGGGAAGCGGTTTGATTTATTCACAAGATCATGACGGACAACAGATTGTGCTGATTGCATCACAAGGCGGATTCGCAGACATGGAACTCCCGACTGAATGACTTTGTATCGCTTTGTAGCCATTTGCTCTGCTGCGGGTGCCTCAATTGACAGCGACAAACGACAGGCTCTATCGCGATCGAGACCGGTTTATATTATTGTTTCCATTAGTGGGAAAGGCCACTTTCATCCGCGTCCCAATTCCCTCATCACGACTGGCAACGTTATGAGCATAAGTTCCAACGCTTGAGGTCTCTTATCGCTCGTCTCGCATCTCACACTGCACCCAATAAATTTATTCAAGGAGAGGTCGAACGGAATTCGAATTTCGAGAATATTGCGCGGGCTAAAGGGGTATGATGGCCTATGATTTGCGTTGTCAGTATGGGCTAAGGTCTGGAATCCGTGAACAATTTCGCAACCAACTGTGGTCATACATCAACATCTTTTCCTGGGACGATAGTAGCAACCATTCGCTTCACTGCTCCAGAGGATTACTATTCCGCTCTGGGCTGAAAAGGTTCCGCTTGGGGAGCAATCGATGAGAAGTCGCTCAGACGACATCTTCCGGACATTTGCTCAACTTTTGGCGATTTCCTCTTGAAAGTTCTCCGAATTCTACTCAACCTTGATCCTCGGACACTTTGCCACGCGACTTTTCCGTGGGTTTGTAATCTTTTGTCTGGATGACACGCCAGCTAACTCGAAAAATGCGTAACGCTACACTCATCGCTTCACTCGTGGCCTTCATCAGTCGTCTGAGTAGACCGAGATAACCTGTCAAACTGCGAGTGTAATCAGTCTCCAAGAATATACGCCATCCTCAACTAAAAAAGCACGTCAGCGAGCCTGCATTGGGCTGTTTGGCACATGTGCACCTCATGCCAACACGAAGCTGTATCATGGTGATCGCTTTTCTCCATAACAAAATATTTGTGTTAATCATGAGCAGGACCGGTATCCATCACTGACCAGATCAAGAAGATGATCAGATAATGTGAACGAATTGGCTCAGCCGCTGGGGAGCAATGGATCAGCAGGGTGGCAAAAAAGGGCAATGGGAGGAAACGACTAAAATTTTCTCTCGGATGTTCTTCGACCTCTTCTTATTTTCTTTTTACTTTTTCATTGCCTCCTGGATCTTTGAGGAAACTTTTTGCCTTGGTCGAATCGCCTAGGGATACTCATGTGTACAATGAGCAGGTTGAGGTCGGAAGCGAGCCGACTCCCGCCCGCCCTGTGGCGCAAAAAGGACCACGGCACTCACCTCCAGCCTACCACGATCCATCTTCAGTAGGCTTGGTCGTCTCAACCAGAGTCCAAACGGTCTGTCTCTTGTTGTTTGCTGGGAATCGAGCTTATTATTATTATTACGGGATTGAGATCTCTTCTCCCTGCCCGTGACCAACATCCTTTCCTAGCTCCACACCTGCTCTGGGCTAGCGCGTGTTCACAAACCACGTCGTCTGTTATTGAAGGTCGGGCGAAGGGGGCTGTTCAGGTAGCTTTCTCATCCTTGAGAATATGACGGACCCTAATCGTCCTCCTTTTTTCTCGTATGGATCCTATCCATCTTCATCAGATTACCAGGAGAATGAGCCTGCATACAGTGACTGGACATCGTCTCAGTTCCCACAGTCACACTTTGGGCCTCATATCAATTATGAGCCGATTCCTAGCTATGTCGAGAACCCCGCAGGCCCCCGAATCAGCACTGGCGAGCGATCTTTGAACTCGAAAGTTGCCATACCCCGGTCAGCAAACCCCAGTAGTTGGACCAGCAGCGGGCGAGTCAGTCGGGCGTGCGAAAACTGTCGTGAGCAGAAAGCCAAGTGTAGCGGCCATCGCCCGACCTGTCAAAGATGCCAGGAGTCGGGGAGTCGTTGCTCGTATGGTGACCGGAAGCGAGAGAAGATGGCCAAGTGCGTTTTGTCATTTTCTTGTTCTAAGAGATTCTGACAGTGGGTAATAGGCAGCTCAGTGAGCTGACAAACCAGGTTCAAACCTACGAGGCTTTGTTGCGCGATATCTATCCAAAGTTGGAACCCCAGTCCGCGCAATATGTTGAACAGGTCCTGAACGAAGTCAGCACATCCCATTACGCTGCTGTGTTTCTTCTCTTTGACCCGCTGGGACTGATGAATATCATAGCAAAACCCCGACAACGACCAGTTCTCTGGCCAACAAACTGCAACGCCATCTCCGGCTCTTAAATTATCTGATGCCGCTCGTGTCTCAAGCCCCGCCGCTTCTACTCCAGTCTTCTCACTGGGGGCTTTAGATTACACCAGCGAGGATTTCAACCGTGATGAGAAAATTCAAGCCATGGGCTTCGTCGGTGAACATTCTGAGATTGCCTGGATTCACAGATTGAAAAGATTACTCGACCAGACCTCCGTCGCGGCGAGAGATGATTCGGATCGTCATTCGGTTGCTTCCGCGAATTTTTTCCTCGATGATTCGGATATTACTGTTTTGGATGATATCGATCTCTCGCAACGACCCTCGCAAACGGTTGCTGATCAGCTCGTGGACGAGTATTTCCAAGTTGTACACCCTTCCTTTCCGATTATCGGCAAACTTGTCTTTTTGAGACAGTATAGGTCATTCTACTCTAGTCCTCACGTACGCCCGGGGAAGAGGTGGCTCGCAGTACTCAATCTGGTTTTCGCTATTGGCGCAAGATGTTCTCGCTATTCACAGGGGGCCAGTGGGGGTGTCTCGGATGGTGAAACACTATACTTCTCGCGAGCATGGCGACTGAGCATGAGTGACATTGCTCTGCTGGATCATCCAAATCTTCAGCAGGTGCAGGTGGAGGGTCTGACTTCATTCTACCTGCTATCTGTGGGACAGGTGAACCGGTAAGTGTTCCATGCTACGACATCAATTTCGAGTTTCAAGCCTGACCGTACGCCTCCTCACAATATCCAGATCTTGGAGAATATGTGGCATTTCATTACGTTCCGCTGTTACGATGGGATTGAACCTTCGGAGTGAGAGTAATACAATTGCTCATGTATCTAAGGAGACTCGTTATCGAGTCTGGTGGTCTCTTTTCATGTTGGATATCTCACTGTGTGTGATGACTGGTCGCCCACCGAGCAGTAGCGATGATTTCCGCACTACTCCTCCGCCGGTACCTTTCAAAGAGGAAGATTTTTCGGATGATCGGGTGGTTCAACTGATTGCTGATCACGAGGCTCGGGGCGTGTTCATGGAAGCTCTAGGCAAGGCAACGGCGGAAACGGCATTGACACCAGAGATATCTGACCACCACCTGTTCAACGCGAATAGAGAATGTGAGCAAGTTGCGTCCAGTGCCATCGAATCACTAACACCGAATATCTCGCTATACTTTCTCCACAACGTCGAGTTAGGAATGATACTGCGAGAGTCTGTTGACACACTGTATGCTCCAGGAGTCGCTCGAAAATCTTGGCGTGATATTGAGCTAGCCGTTGCTGCACTCAACTCCAAGGCAGACGTTTGGCTGTCCAGGCTTCCGCCCGCATTTCACTTCGAGACAGGCGCCCGTGTATTCGAGCGGCAGAGGTTGAACTTGGCATTTCGCTTTTACAGCACCAAAATCATAATAGCCCAACCCTGTCTTAGCCGCCTCACTCGGCAGGCTCCCGGGTCAGAGCCACTCGGAGTTGCGTGCGAGGCGATGGCGACCATGTGTGTCGATTTCGCGGGGCAGATGCTCGATCTTCTTCCTACCATACCCGAGCCCTCCTGGGTCTACCGTGTCTCTCCCTGGTGGTGCTTTTTGCACTATCTGATGCAATCAACCACCGTTCTTTTAACTGAGCTATTACTCGTGGCAGAAGTGGGCACCGTCAGATACAACCGACTGCTAGAACAAGTTTCCAAAGCGACTCGCTGGTTGTCAGAAATGTCGACAAACGATCCATCTTCTGCAAGAGCGTGGCTCGTTTGCAGAGATCTCATCTCTCAACGTGCCCCAGAGCTTGACCTCCGAGCCTTTTCAGAACACCACAGAAATTGACCATATAGCAATCGTATCCCAGCATTGTGTGCATTCATACACGTGAGCCGCAGCTGACACATTGCAGTCATTCGTTATGTTTAAGGCGTCTACGCATAAAGGCATCCATCTGAGCACCAGCCGCCAGCCTTCCTCTTATCTCGACGGGGACAACCCATTCCTTGCATGAATATCATGCGGAATGACCGACCCATTTAGATTCGGGCGTTTCCCAAGACTCGCCTTGCGAAACAACATACCACTACTCCTATAGAATTATGGTGTCAACTTTCAATAGATTTGGATCTCTTCAAGATCTCTCCGGTATTCGATGGTATGATGGAAGCCTCCGCTCATCGTATGCGCTAAAACGCGCTAGAAGACCCGTGCAACTACTGAAGGGGGAATTTCTTCGATGGGCCACAGTTTCCCACTCCGCTCTTTCCAACAAACGTGTTCAAAGTTTTGTTCAGTTGAGTGAGGGTCATTGTATTATCGTGACACTTGGCTTGATACTGCAGAGACTTTAACCAAGGTGACGTGGCTGATCATTGGACCAAATTGAGCTCAGAACGCCAGAATACGAATACAATTCATTAACACGATAATCACTTCTTCAGTGCTGCCAATGACGAATAATGGAGACAGTTCTTACTTCTTTTCCCGCCCCCTTTATTATTTTATTTCCCCCTCTCTCTTGTCTATTTGATATCTCGAGATTCCTCTTTACCTCGTTGGACTTTTTTGTCTCCCTATGCACACTTCACGCCTGCCGCAGGGCCCTGCCCTGGAATGTCTGGCGCAACTTTTTTATTTACTTTTCCCATAATTGGGAGGACCCGGCGAGATGGGTCGAGAAACAAAAGCAGTAAGAGACCGAGCATACCACCAATTCCTTACATCGATAGTGGGCCTATCCCCACTGATCCGTCTCCTGCCATTTGCTGGGAGACAGATCCGTGGCAGCGGTAAGGTCCTTCTAGCCCGATAGTTTATTAGCCAGATCCCCAAATCTGTCGCCCGTTCGCCCATTTGCTCATCTCCATTGACCGGAAGTACCATGGATGATGGGTCGAACATAAGTGGACAGCCTCTCATTCCCAGCTGACCTATCCGCGATGAGCCGACTCTAATTAAGAAAACCTTCCTTTTTTGGGGGGGCTGGTTTCAGGAACATGGACTCGCGTACAGCAAGAACCAGTCACTGTGGACTAAATGTCAAGATTGTAAGATGACTACGATCTATTTGTCTACTTCAGCGCACTATCTGTGATCGCGACGTGCCATACGGTGAGTGTCACGGAGAGAAGGAGGAAAGGTGGGCGGATTACTTATCCCATAGTTTCGCACGCCGCCAGCTGCAAGTTGTCGTCATACAACATGGCACTTCTCATTCTGATTGGTGCTCGTTTCCAACATTCTTCCATGGGCCCCGATGGATCGAAAAGCTACAGGGTCCGGTCGCGGACTTGAGGCACCATCGCCGTGGGACTAAATGGAGATTATTGTTCTAGGTCCCAGAGTGACTCTCCATGGTAAATACTGAAAGACTACCTAGTGGTTGCTGACCAGTCGTTTAGCCTTCGTTGCTAAAATGGATCACTCGAACGGACCTCGTCCGGGCAAAGTGGTTTGGCTGATAATGGTGACTGGCGAATGGCAATACCATCAAGGAGGAGCATGTCCAAGTCATTATCTGACAGTATATCAACAGTACAGGCTGCTCTCATGCTCCTGGATCACTGACAGATACATCCATTTACAGGAGGATATGGTGAGGGATGGGCCCCAAAATTCTGAAAATTGGAGGCACAAGAGGTCATCCTTGTTTCGGAGATCTACTCAACATCATACATCTATCTATTTGTTATTATGATTTGTTTGTTTTTCTGCTTAGATAGATAGTGACAGCACGGGCCTTTTGCTGGGTATGAGATCATCACCTTCCACATCGGGTAATTATCCGGTAATCACTGCCTTTTATGGTTACAGGCTCTTTCCTTGTTGGGTATCCACGCCCGATCCTCGTCCCTTTCAGGTGTCCAGGCTGCAACTCCTCTCTATAACCTCAAGACTTAAGAGTTCCTTTTTACCTTGTTGAGCATGGTGCAGGGGAATGATGATACTGTCATACTACGGACTACTGCTGACAATTTAACGTAATATGCAAGGATGCCTTATTCATAATCACAAAAGACCTCCACTAGCAGACTAGCAATTGTTGACTACCTTGGCAATCCAGCATTGGGGTCTGAAGAATTACCCCAAGTTTTAATCGCCCGTTACTCCTGTATGTGGGACGAATCCCGAGTACCACAAAATCTCATCGGTTAGTGCCGAGGATACTCCGTACAGAGTAGGTCTGTCCGGGTGTTGTCCAGCGAAATAACTGAGATGGTTCTGGTCAAAAGCTGCGAGTCCTCAACAGCACCCCCTGTAACAGAGTTAGACGATCGGCAGTCACGTACATTAGATAGTTGCTCGTTTTCTAGTTGGTGGGCAAATTCAAAGGTTAGCTACTACGGAGTAAGGTACCTACCGTGGCGGAATGCTTTGACCCCATATGAGGCAACCATTGCCTACCTTAGTCGCATTGTATCCTTCGCGCTAAAAGAGGATTCATTATCTTAGACATGGACCAGCCCGTGGTTATGGTTAATCTTGACCGCTTCTACGGAGTATAGCCATGCACAAGGTTTTCGAGTCGGGATTAGAACGGAGCTGGTAGCTGGAAACTTGAAAAAACTGGAACACTCAACCATGGAATGGGAGAGTCGAGACTCTGAAGAAACTAAAAGTACCCTACTTTCTGTACAGGCCTGGTGCCTCAGGCATCGAAAGGATCAGGCCCTTATCACGTGCGTGTGGACGATGACGTTTCTGCCTCAGGCATGAAGTTCTGGTCTAGCGTCACGTGACATTCATTGCAAGGAGATTGTTCTGTGGCACCGGTATCCACTTTCTGGGGATCATGTCATGGAGTGATAACCTCTCAAGTCTTAACTGATCTGACTTACCAATGCAAGGTCCATTGTCTATCCATGACAACACGTGACATCGATGAAGTGAAATGATATCGACATTTTGAATGTAGAGAATGGCTCTGCGTGGGCCGATGAAGCGCTCCCACCTGAGACAGGTGAGCGCGCCCAGTGTAGACTCCGTTTCCATCCCCCCGTCGCAGTCGCTGGAGGTTCCCTACAATGAGGAGCACAGCCATCATAATGTCCAGGCAACGCCGAACGAGAGAATCATCCGGCTGTCATCAGCCAGCCTAGAACGCCGACAATGCTCTCTCTGGGTCCACGATGAGACTTTCTCCCGCGAGGAGATTCTCTTCAACCAGGCGGCGTTCAGCGACCTGGGGGTGAATGTGGGCGATGTGATCGAGATCCTACCTGTCCGGTCACCGGGGGACTCCATACACAGCATCAAGTCGGATCTGGGAGCTCGATCGCTCCGCGACAGCTATCTTGAGTCGAGCTCGACGCTCCTCCCCGACCCCATGTCCAAGTTCAAGACCCCTTTGCAGAGCAGGTGTCTGTTCGTGGTGAAGCCTCTCCCGCAGGAGATCAAGGCTCGTCATCCGAAGTTGGAGATATCGTTGACCAATAGTGTTGCCAATATCTTTGGGTTCAAGAATCGTACCTTGGTCAATATCTCCGTTGTCGATCGGGGGCAATGCTCCGCTTCTCATGTCGATATCGCCTTTCGCGATCAGTTCCTGGTGCGGTCTGATATGTGGAGACTTGTGATGTCCGAGCTTGCCGACAGGATTATCTACAAGGGCCAGAAGATTGTTTTCATGGGAAGCATCAAAGCCACCGTGAAGAACATCTTCATCCGCGGCAAAAAGGTTCTCTCTGGTTACTTCTCCCCGCATACCATCCCCGTCTTCCGGAGTGAGTCGGCCAAGTATGTCCTCTTCATCCAGATGTCGCGGGAGATGTGGGATTTCGACTCCGAGGGAACAGGCGACATCCTTTTTAGCCGAGTGATTAATGGTTTCCTGCCAGAGCTCTTCAAGCGCTGGGCCAACTCAGATGCGAAACATCTGGTTACGATCGTGCTGTTTACGAGGGTTGAGTACGATGCCTCGACTCTTGGTGGTCCCTTGCCGCTCAGTTCCGAATCGCTGAGGTGCATCTCGAGCCCCAACCATGTTCCGACCAGGGACTTTTACCGTGTCGTGGTCAATGATATGGCAAGTGGTCATTGGACGACGATTCTCGATGAGCTGAAGAAGGATTTCCGGACTTTCTTGAGAGATGTCTCGATTCTAAAGATGGACAGTCCGGATACACCTACTGTGGATGGGGTCAAGGTTGCTCCCAAGAACAAGCCTGCAACCATCGCCGGGCGACCAAGTACCGCGCTACGTGGGAATATTCTCGAAGCGATACATCTTGCTTCTGCCCACCTTGCGTACGACCATATTGATCGTGACATGGTCCATACGGGTACATCTATCATCGTCATCACTCCAGGAAGCGGCGTCTTCGAAGTGTCTTATGAATCTTTGTCCTCTACCTCGGAAGCACTCGCGAACCGTGGCATCGCTATTGACCTGGTCTGTCTGAGCCCCATGCCTCTGCACTCCGTGCCGCTGTTCAAGTACAAAGCGCCTGTGGAAAGATCTGGTAGCTCTTCGTTTGGCGACTTTCACAGCAGCGGTTATTCACCTGAGATGCGTCAGTCGTTCAGCTTTGCGAGTCGGACTCCCCATCTGTCACCGAAATCTACCATCCACGACTCGTTTCCGGGAATGACTCACAAGGAACATCCTTCCCCTCGCTCAAACGAGTGGAACTACGGCATACCTCACTGGCTTGACATCTCATACTGGAATCCAGATACATACAGAGAAGCTCGGCGCATTGCGAAGAAGGACCCTAATGCGCCAATTCCTTTCACCGTCACTAAACAGTTCAAGGTTTTCGTGCCGCGGGTCCGAATGTACGAGATCCAAATGATGGGAGTGATGGAGAGCGAGCAGTCGAACATCTCGATCCCTTATTTGT